TTTATATTATATATATATATATATATATATATATATATATATATAATAAAAGCCAAAGGGCTAATATATTAAAGAGAAAATGATACAAATATGTTGTATGAGTGGGCCAAAAAATAAATATCTAACCCACATAGTACAACACAATAAACTCAAAAAGAGTGGGTACATATAAAATCAAAAAAACCCAAACCACCGAGGTTTGGAAGTAGTTAGGATCGACCCAATTTAATCCCGCCTCTTCTTCTAGTTCTCAGAAGGGAGCCAACTAACAAGTTGGTGAGGTGCGTACAATTACTAGAAGTAACCAAGATATCATCCATTAGATTCCTTAGCTCAAGTAGATCTCCATTCTTCTTCCTCCTACTGGAATTGTAAATCTTTCATTCCTCATCTGAAGATTGATCATTCAGATGAGGTGGTAGAGTTGTAGCAGAAAGGTTGTCAACCGTTGTACCCACAATAGTTTCTAGTATATGTGAAGTATGAGTTGTCGTCTCTACATGGGATACTTCCTGAAGATGGAGAGCTGAAAGGTTCTCTTGATTATCAGTCCGAACACTATCCTTTGTAGGTAAGGATCCTTCAGTATGGTGTAGGTTGCCCAGCAGAGCCATCTAGCATCACATCACTCGAACAAACAGTAACAACATTGTTAGGGGGGTCCACAAGAGCAATTAGATCAGTCACCAAATCCTGTCTTGTGGTATTTTCCTCCCCAGGTAGAGCAGATATGCTCAAAGAAGTGGGGTTAGACCCCTTCTTATTTATTGAAACTTTAGGTTTCAAATTAGGATGGAGCTTGTGACATTTATCAAGTGTATGCACAAACATCTTACAATGGGTACAATAAGGAGGTCTGTGTTCAATGATGATTTGTTGCCAATATCTATTATGAATTGTTCCCAGCCAGACTTCAGTAATATCAGATTAAGTAATCTCTCTTTCCACAAGTATTCTGTCCACAAAAGGTCTGGTTAGATTGAAAGTGAGTAGATTTAGCTTCATAGGGTCCCCAAGTATTTGGCCTCAATAGAGTAGGGAACCTGATGATTAAAAAAGTGTAGTTTGAGACCAGGTAGACTAAGGCCCCGTTTGGGACAGCTTAAATGTGCGGCGGCGTTTTTGAAAACGCCGCCGCAGCGTTTGGAAATCACGTTTCCCATGCGTTTTTTAGGCTGGGTTGAATGCACTGGTGAGTCTAGCCCGTCAAATAGTCAAGCCAGAGGATCCAACATTCCAGTCCATCCCCACACATATTGCGAATGACCCTCGTTATATGCCGTTCTTTAAGGTGTTCCACATATTTAAATGTTAGTTTCTGAAATGTCACACACATGATTTTATTATTGATTATTTCCTTCCTATCAGGATTGCATCGGAGCCATTGACGGAACACATGTCGACGCACGTCTTTCTGTCAAAGAGAAAGTTGCGTACATTGGTCGATGCGGATCACCAACACAAAATATAATGGCTGTTTGTGATTTCAATATGTGTTTCACATATGTGATGGCTGGATGGGAAGGTAGCGCACACGATAGTCGCGTTTTCAAGTTTGCAACTAGCAACATTAAATATGGATTCCCTTATCCACCACCAGGTACGGCAACCGTGTTGCGCTTTCGTCAAATTTTATTACTTCAAATTTTCTTAATTTTCAAAAAAAACTTTGCTCAGGTAAGTACTACTTAGTGGACGCCGGGTATCCTTTGCAAAAGGGCTATTTGAAGCCATATCCAGATACAAAATATCATATACCTGATTTCGAGAGATCTAGCGGGGTTGCACGAGGAAAGAAAGAACTTTTTAATAAAAGACATTCATCCTTGCGTGGTGTGATCGAGAGATCGTTTGGTGTTTGGAAGAAGAAATGGGTAATTCTACGTGATATGCCAACTTATCCTTTTCCAAAACAAGTCCAGATTGTAGTGGCAACAATGGCACTACACAACTTCATACGACGACACCATTCTCGGACAGATGCAGAGTTCTCTGTTATAGAAGAGGATTCAATGGAAATACCACCTGAGGCATTTGAATACCACGTTGGACGTTCTATCCCACACATCGATATTGATTCACCTGAGTCACATACACCAGATGGTGAAGGCGCTTCTGAGATGGCATGTTTGAGAGAGCAAATAGCAAATGATATAAGCCAAGGCATTTAGACTGCATTACATATTATGTTCTTTCAATTATGTTTAATTATTTGGGGCATGTTAAACATATGGAAGTAATTCTATGGATGATGATGTACTTTGCTCTTATCTGGTAGTTTATGTTAATTTGAGTGCACTAAATGGAGGTATTGATGTTTAACTGCTGTGTGAATGTGGTATTTTAGAAGCTATGGATGTATCTGCATTTTAAATGAAAGCTTATCCCATGCTTGTGATCTTACTTAGCTGGTAATAAAGCTGCAGCCATGCACTTTGGGAGTATATGCAATCCATATGTAGCTTGGATGGCCCCTTAGCTATGTAGGTAGCTTGGATGGCAACCACTACTATGTTGGAATGCTGTTTAGGGTCAGAATGGCTGCTATATGTGTGTGTGTGTGTGTGTGTGTGTGTGTGTGTGTAGGATTGTGTGTGTGTGTCTGTGTGTGTGTTATTGTGTGTGTGTGTGTGTGTAGGAGTGTGTTGTGTGTGTGTG